ATGTTATGTTATATTTAACTTTTTTGACATTATTTTTTTATATTGTAAGGAAAAAATGAAACTCCGTCCGAATATTTTATACATTTTTTTACTGTAATATACATATACAAATAAATAAATAAATTACCCTTATATGATAGTAAATGCATTTTTATTTCAGATCTTAATTAACCTATAATAGGGTAGTTAACTTAATAAATAAAAATAAAAATTAGGATACTATCCTATTAGACCTTACTATTAAATGTATAGTGAGGTCTAATACCTTATTTAATATTTTTTAAATACGCTAGCGCCAGTTGTTTACAGTGCCATCTGTTGAAGCACAAACATTTATCTTAGACTACTATATAGAACTGAATAGTTAGTTTGTTTGAACGCGCAAATCTCGGGAACTACTGGTACGATTGGAAAAATTCTTTTTGTGTTGGATAGTGCATTTATCGAGGAAGGCTATAGGCTATAAATCATCACGCTACGATTAATAGGCGCCGAGCAGAGCGGGTGAAATGGTGCGGAAGTAGCAAGTATTATTATTATATTAGGTCACCTCTTATATTTTTAATTATTTCTTCTATTCTTATTTTCTTTTACAAAACTTACTAATAATTTACTATATTATGTTTTGTCAACAATATACATACGTACGTTTTTAAATACCAATTAAACTCATTTTAATATTTTTTTATCTACCTGAATAATTTACACTATGACAATTAATAAATTATTCTTATTCTTAATAACAATAAATTAAAATCCTTTTAAAAACAAACTTTTATGCAGATTAGATACACACACACACACACACACTGACACACACAAACAAACACACACACATACATACATAGCAAGTTAAATAAAAATTGGTAAAGAAACCATTCATTTTAACATTAAAATTTTGTCCTGCATCGTGGACACGTTTACCAGTACAACTTGTCGACTCTAAACAAAAAGCCTTTCGAACCCACAAGCCTACAAGCGGGAAAGAAACCCAGGATGATTCTGTGACCCTTGTGAAAAAGGATTTAAGTCCAAAATGATAACCTCATAAGAGATGCAAAAACACTCCGTGCGTTTCAATTTTGTGTTCTGTTTAAACTTTTTTTTTATTATTTTTTTTAAGGGGGGAAAATCATCGAATGACTGCTCCCGCCTGGGTGAGGCGGGTGTGTCAGACTCTTACTGACTAAAAACAACCCCGTTCCTTCTCCCGCACGTCGAGCCGGAGCCCCGGTTACCCATTAGGTTCTCCGCGACATTTATAAACCTTATGTGTCATTTAAACTGTTATTTCATAAATTACAAACAATGTTTTGTTTTTATGAGTAAACAGTTCATACGAAGCATTTTTAAACGACTTTAGAATAAGGAGATTCTCAATTTGACTTATACCTATATATATCCGCCCTGAGGACACTGCCCTGAGGAGAATGCCCTGCGTGGGCTGAGCACGTGCCCTCAGGGAAGTGGTCGGCGAAGGCGACCTCTCGCGTCCGGGCCTAGTGCAGGCCATGATGCGGAGCGAGGGGAACTAGGATGCTGTCTCCTCCTTTTGCAAAGCAGTTATGCTAGCTAAGGAGGAGGCGGGACGCGTGAGGCAGCGAAGCGTTGCCTCCTCGCAACCCAGCCATCACGAAGGACATACCGGGCGTCGGGGATCGCGAGACGATCTCCGGCCACCGTAAGCGCGGGCCTGCGGACGGCGAGCATGGGTGGCTCCCCGTCCGACCAGAAACAGACCCGAGCGTACGGCGCGTCGCGTTCCGCGCGCGCCTCAAAGAGCCATCAGACCACCACAGATGGGGCCCAATAGGGCCGATGCCGATTCGGAGTCGCGGAGAACCTAACGGGTAACCGGGGCTCCGGCTCGACGTGCAGGAGAAGGAACGGGGTGGTTTTTAGTCAGTAAGAGTCTGACACTCCCTCCCGCCTCACCCAGGCGGGAGCAGTCATTCGATGATTTTCCCCCCATAAAAAAAAATACCTATATATATATATGATTGTTCGCGATTATCTCCTTATTGGCTAAATGGATTTTGATGCCGTTTACAGAAAGGTGTTGGTAACACTTAGGTGAAGGTTTTAGTATATTAATTAACTGCCTTTAAAAAAAGAGGGAGTTGAAGTAGATTTTTTTAAACGTAGTCTAAATGAATTATTTCTGCAAGAGTAGTCGCAAGTGCGACTGCCGGGCAAGGGATCTTAGGTTCGATTCCTGGGTTGAGAAAAGTATTACTGCGTTTTCGAAACATTTCTCAGTAGTAGCACGGAGTCTGGAAATGTGCCCGGTACATGGTAATAGGCTCACCCCCTATTATATGGGACTCATAACATAAATAGTGAAAAGTGGTTGTTACATTGTACAGTGGCATTAAGTGTCGTAATGTGCACCTCTGCCTACCCCTTCGGGGATAAAAGGCGTGATGTTATGTGTGTTATTTCTGATAATTTTAGTAGGTATCATTAACTAATTTTCGACTAAAATTGGACTTATACTCTTTTTCACTAAAGCCACAGAATTATCAATCAATACATAGTATAAAACAAAGTCGCTTTCGCTGTATGTCCGTATGTATGCTTAGATCTTTAAAACTACGCAACGGATTTTGATGCGGTTTTTTTTAATAGATAGAGTGATTCTTAAGGAAGGTTTGTATGTATAATACATGCATATTGCACCCGTGCGAAGCCGGGGCGGGTCGCTAGTGAAAAATAAAATACTAAACTACACAACAGCACATTAGTTCTAATGTCAGGTTTCTCAACTATGGGATTTAGGTTCCTCGCTGTACTCTGCAACTTCATACGGCTCATGGCTCTTATAAGTCGGTATGGTCTTGTATGGAGGCGATGCGTTGCTGACTTCAGGCGAATAGGAGTTCCAGTCTCCTGAGTAATAGGAACCTGGAAATTACAATGAATTATGTCATAAAAGCGAATGAAATAAGTAGGCCGAGTAAGTAACTATATATTTACCAAAGACCCTGGAGCAGGGCCGTCTTAGACTATGCTGGGGGCCCTTGGGCATTTTGGGCACACAATAACGAATTGTTATGTGTCTTGGAATGTAAAGAGAACAAGTTTAGCATTCTTTTTCACTATGATATGATATTTCGACAAATATAACATAACATCCCCGAAGGGGTAGGCTGAGGTCCACATTACGGCACTTAATGCCACTGTACAATGTAACACCCACTTTTCACTATTTATGTTATGAGTCCCATGTAATAGGGGGTGAGCCATAGGTATACCGGGCACATTTCCAGACTCCGTACTACTACTGAGATTTTTAAAAACCCAGTTATACTTTGCCCGACCCGGGAATCGAACCTGAGACCCCTTGGCAATGGCTTTACATTTGATTAATAAAACGTTAATAGACGACAGTACGTTATCGATATCGATTAATAGATAACGTCTATGTTCAAACAAACTTATGACGGTTATTGAATCACTTAAATAATTATTGATATAATAATGTAGGTATTGATTTGAATAAATCTGATCGACGTTCGTGCGACGAGAAAAATGTGATGTACCCGACTATAATACCTTGATTTTAAATGTAAGAGAAAAAGACAGTGAACCCTATCCTCAAGGATGGGGGCCTTGGGCACGGGCCCCGAGTGAGAGTTATGGTAAAGTATAGTAAAGACGGCATTGCCCCGGGGCAGCGTTCCTTGACAATATTGTTTATTTTTCAACGATTCCTTTGCAAAAGACACCACGTTATATTAATTCCAACAAAATCTCGTAATATTTTATTTAAAATAAATAAATAAAAAACATGCTTACCGGTATCAGAAAAACTCCGGTCATAGCCTGCAATGAGAAACAATATCGCTAATTTATATATTTACAAGATTTTGTCAGATGGCTATCTTAATTAATATATGTGTGTGAACAGAACATACAATACATGTTCGTGTTAATATATTGAGAATTTATAAACATTCCAAACTACTGCCGGTAGTATATATGATACCGTGCGACTGTGACTCGAGTTACATCAGGGAGACTCGCCGTAACATCACAATCAGGCTTAAGGAACACATACGCAGTGTGAAGAACTGGGAAGCCAGGACACTCATACATCGGCAGTAGCCGAGCATGCTTGTGGCAGAGCACGGCTCACTTCTTCCATTTCGACAAGGTCTCCGTATTGGCGAGGGAGAAATAATCACCACGGAAAGTATGTGAGGCCATCGAAATAAGTCGTCGACCGAATTTTAACAGAGACGATGGCTGGACACCACCTGACTACCGCCAAAATATGAGCCTCTAGCACGGCTTGAAACTAGTCGAGTTCCTCGTCTCTATTACCTATTAACTATTATTACCACTCGGGAATCGAATCCGAGACCTCGTTTTCAGTAGCCTCGTTTATGATCATTCGACCAATGAGGTAGTATTCTACATCGTCAATTAGGATATTATCTTACCATGATGTTCAATGGGAGGTGACCAGGAATATTCATGATGACTGTGCTTCCCTTTCAGCGCTGTGAAAAATGACGCCACCTGCAAATCAATACACAATGTATGAAAAATAAGATTCAAAATTGTGTCATCATTCGTTCCGAAGCAGAAAACCAACTTGAAACAACGCTTGCGTTTTGTTTCGTCATACGAGTGAGGTTACAGAAGGCCCAATTATCTCCCCAATCACTCCAATCCCCGAATCCCTAACAATCCTCAAAATCCTAAACCCCAAAAGGCTGCTAACGCACTTGTAATACCACTTAGTGTTTCGGGTGTCAATGAGCGACACCATCAGGTGATCTGTCGGTTCATTTACCGGCTTATTCCAAACAAAAAAAGATACTTTATATCAATCAACGCAGTGTTTGACCTTGTAACACAAATCGAGTCTCAATTGAATAAAAATGTAACAAAAAATAAACCTACTTACGATATTTGATCTAAGATATTAAATTTACATAGCAATCTCTTTGATGTTTATTTTTTTACTAAAGAAAGTGAAACTATGCCTCAATATGATCATCGAATCTCTCGTCATCGGATCGAAAAAAATCGATCTCGTCATCGAATGTCCGTGACAGGCCTCTGCTGTCAAAGTCAAAGCATTACTTTTCAATTAGACCATAGTTTGGTACTTTTGAAACGTCAACAAATACAAAATACCTATTAGTCTGTCAGTCAGTCCGTTAGTGAAGCTACGTGAAGCTAGGTGCTCATTACAAAATGTAGATTCGAATGGAGAAGAAAGATAAAGAAACTCCATTCGTTACTCTTTTTAAAAAAGTATGTTCTATAATGTCTGTCTTTGCATTGTTCTTACATATGCGTACAGTATTCCAATACTGTACGCATATGTAAGAACAATGCAAAGACACGCTTGACGCATTATACTAATAACTTACTAAAATAAAAAATAATAAAAATCTTAAGTCTAACATGGTGCTCACATATGCATACTGACAATCCATAAAAATAGTGCTTCTATTCAAGAAAAAGGAAACTCTTCGTTTCAATAAAGAAAGGAAGCTGGAGTATGAACCTCGTCTACATAAGAGGGGTTTGTCATAATTTCTCTTAGGAGGTTTGCCTCCTAAGAGAGTTTGAGTTTGAGTTTGCTCAAAGATCTTCATTGGGAGACAGTGCTCACACAAGACTTGCCTCGAAAGGTTGACTGCCTCGTTGGCCGAGTGCTCGCAAGTGCCACTGCCGGGCAAAGGGTCTCGGGTTCGATTCCCAGGTCGGGCAAAGTATTACTTAGTTTTAAAAAAATCTCAGTAGTAGCACGGAGTCTGGAATTGTGCCTGGTATATGGCAATAAGCTCACCCCCTATTACATGGGACTCGTAACATAAATAGTGAAAAGTGTTACATTGTACAGTGGCATAATGTGCACCTCTGCCTACCCCTTCGGGGATATAAGGCGTGATGTTATGTGTGGTTACGAAGGTTGTTGTGTTCATACACTGCTCCACCATGTCAATAGCTTGTGATAAAGTGTATAAATTGCAGTAGTTGTATATTATAAGTGTGGGAGAGCCATGTTTCGGCACTTCGGCACGAATAGGCCGGCTCGACCGGAGTGATACCACGGCCGCGGCCGAGCAGAAAACCGACGTAAAGCAACGCTTGTGTTGTGTTTCGTCATATGACTGAGGTTACCGGAGGCCTAATTACCCTCCCCTTCCCCAGTCTCCCCAATCCCTGAATCCCCAACGATCTTCAAACTCCTAATCATCAAAAGGCCGGTAACGCACTTGTAACGCCTCTGGTGTTCCAGGTGTCCATGGGCGACGCCGATTGCTTACCATCAAGTGATCCGTTTACCGGCTTATGCCATAAAATTTTTTTAATATCAAACAATGATTGTATAAAGAAACTTTTATTAATTACATTTTGCATCAAAACATAAAATGGCAGGTTGAATATCGCAGTGTAAATGGTTCAGTGCCTTTAGGCAAACGCCACTTTAGCGCTTGTCTATCGAGAGAGTAGAAAACTAAATGTATGGGGATGACACTGACAAGTCTCAAAATTTACGTCAATTAAACTGTCAAACACCAAGCGGTCACCGGTGACCGCAACCTATTGTTCTATAATTGTGTCTACAAAACCGGTACTCGACGAGTTAATTTGGTTTTCTATTCTACATGTAGACAAGCGCTAAATGGCATTTGGCTACAGCTGCAGGTTTATCAGAGAGCGCTGCTGCCCGGTCTCTGTCGAATGTGTAGACGCTTAGTCGGGTATACGACACCCGCTGGAAGAGTAGTGGTGGTGACAAACCGCAGTATAAAAGGTTCAGGTTTATCAGAGAGCGCTGCTGCCCGGTCTCTGTCGAATGTGTAGTCCCTTAGTCGGGTATATGACACCCGCGGGAAGAGTAGCGTTGGTGACAAACCGCAGTATAAAAGGTTCAGGTTTATCAGAGAGCGCTGCTGCACGGTCTCTGTCGAATGTGTAGTCCCTTAGTCGGGTATATGACACCCGCGGGAAGAGTAGCGGTGGTGGCAAGCCGCAGTATAAAAGGTTCAGGTTTATCAGAGAGCGCTGCTGCCCGGTCTCTGTCTAATGTGTAGTGCCTATATGTTACGACACCAATGTGTAGATTATTCATTCACTTGAGGATACAGGATTCTCTTTTTATAAGTATTTAAAATACGCGAGATCAGTATTTAATATAATTTAATTAAGACTTTTTTTGTACTTTGCCCTTTTTAATGAACATAAACAAAACTAAATCTGCAATAAATCTACCAAACGTCTAATTGTCTACAATATGAACATAATCTGATATTTGGATCAGAAAGTGAAGTATAATCTTTCGCCTACATACTTAAAAACGAGACGAGCCTAGCTGCCAATCAAATTACTAAAAATAAAAGTACTTTCTGACTTCTGAAACTACTTTTGGAAACGCGGTTAAAAAGTGAGAGGGGAAGTCTTTTTATTTTTCAAAAACTAACGCATCATGCTATGTTTGATTTCGCCGTTGGTTGGGTGGTGAGTGCGACTGACAAGACAAGAGACATCTTGTGCCTCGGATTAATTTGATTAATGTTAAAATGATGTGTACGATTTTAGTATAGTTATGGTGACAGACAGTGGAGGATGCATCGTGGTGGCCTGGAGGTTTAAGACGCCCGCTTCTTATACAATCGTTTGGAACTTAACTAATATCAACGTGCCTTTTTCGAGTTATATGTACTTTCTAAGATTATTCAGACACTACTGACAAACGGTGAAGGAAAACATCGTGAGGAAACCTAGGTGCTTACTCTTGAGACCAATCTCAATGTCAATGCAATTTCAATCCAATAAAATCACTATAATTATTCAATGTCAACACTATACAACCCCTATTACGATATTTTGACAGCTACGGCTGTCAAAATAGCGTTCAGAGTACGGTGTAAAAAGCCAAACTCAATACTATTTAATTTCATTCAATATCCGCGCAATAATTTTACAATACCAATGTCGATCGATCGGAATTGGAGTCGAGAGTAAGTACCCTGGACTTATTTATAAGTTTGTAATCGCCAACCCGCATTGAGCGAGCGTGGCTTGCTCAAACCTTCTCCGTGTGAGAAGAGGCCTTTGGCCAGCGATGGACATAGACTGTTGATGATGATGATGATGGGCTTTAGGCTATATTAGATAAATAAGATCTATACCTATGAACTCCTTTTTTATCTGATAAGCTAGTAAACGAGCAGACGGATCACCTGATGGTAAGCAATCGACGTCGCTAATGGACACCTGTAGCACCAAAAAGCCACTATCAAAAGGGATTGGGAAGGTTAGGATTGGGCCTGGAAGAAATATCTGATATGCAGGGCCGTCTTAGATTACGCAAGTACACCCCTTGCTTCGGCAGTACATATACTAAAATTGGAACGATACAGAGAAGATTACCATGGCCCCTGCGCAAGGATGACAAGCAAAATCGTGAAGCGTTCCACATTTTTTTTTTCACCACAGATGGGGCCCAACAGGGCTGATGCCGATACGGAGGCGCGGAAGACTTAACGGGTTGCCGGGGCTGCGGCTCGAAGTGCAGGAGTAGGAACGGGGTGGTTTTTAGTCAGTAAGAGTCTGACACTCCCTCTTGCCTCACCCGGGCGGGAGAAGTCATTGGATGATTTTCCGAGAAGAAAAAAAAGAAGATTACGCTGGGGTCGATCGCGCACACAATAATGCCCTTTTTGGAATGTTTCTTTTTTTGACGTTGCCCTGCACTAGGATTTCCTATTGTGTCGCGGGTGCGTTTACTAACATACATACATGACTTACATACATGTAAACATACATATGGCACACAGACACGAAATAACAATTTGTGGATAACACAAAGAGTTGTTCCGTGCGGGAATCGAACCCGTTACGGGCTAAGCTGTTGCTGCGCAACGTGCCCGTTTCAGGAATTGTCGGTTTTTCGGAGCCCTTGAGGATGGGGGCCCTGGGCACGGGCCCTGAGTGCCCTTAAATGTACCAATTCCAGTCCATTTTTTGCATCTAGAAAATGTCTATTATATTCGACTTTGGGTATGCAACTCAAAACTTTACTTTCAACAGACGAGCTTGCAACTCGTATCAAAGACAAAAAGATACCAGCTGAATTGAGAACCTCCTTCTTCTTCCACAGTCGGTTACAAATAGACATAACAGGCTTACAAGAGAAAGTGACTTCTAATAATGGAACCTATACACATCAAGGCAACGCATTATTATTTGTGCTAAGTAGCTTTTTATACTGAACAGTGTAAATAGTTCAATAGATTTTACTAATTGAAAAGAGTAGCTGCACAAAAAATGTACAGTCGGCTGCCAGAAGAGCTGCCTTATTTGTTACATCGTCCAAAACCAAATGAAAAAAGTAGTTAGAATGTTTCTATAATAACTGTCGTGAGACATACTAAATTAACTAAAAATTGCGGGTTACTCACGTGAATATATGAGCTGCGTGCGCGGTCGCGGCGATGTCGTGCAACCTAGCCAGCCTACTCATGAGGAAGAACCCCTCTGTGGTTTGAAACTAG